TGGTTTCCTTCACATAAAGGAAACTTACAAAAGTTAAGTGAAAAAACAACAAAAACTAATAAACTAATGAAAAGAAATAAAGAACTAATAAATTATTTCCTCCTAAAGTAATATTTGCCATATTTTCTATCACAAGGTGTCTAAAACCATGAACTAAATGCTAATAATCCTAAGACCATTTAAACTAACTCAAATGGTCAACAATGCACCTAATTGACCAATCACATATCAACAAATATATTACAAACACAATTTGAACATTAAAATGCTGATTCCACTATAATTAATGGGTGTATGCGTAATTACATATAACATTACCATAACCATCCATACAAATACAATCATCATAATAACGATACTTATATTAGTATTTCGATCTCTCACAAACAATTTCCAACACAGATACCATATCCTAGCTAAAAATACCAAAATAACATAACTCATCATGCAAGTGCAATAAAACAATATGCATCTTAGAGTTGGCAATATATATATATATATATATGTAATTTTGTTACACCATATACCAAGTAAAGAGCTATACATACTAGATCCTTAGATCCTCAATAATGTCCTCCTTCCCTTTGCCCCTAGCGGAATCTTCACTTATTAAAACATAACCACGAGAGTAAGTTGATAACTTAGTAACCAAATAATCTAATATATTTACAAGTATACAATAATAGCATATGACTGTGTGAAGTGGAAAAAAAAACAAGTTATTAGATACATACAAACACAAGAGTATAATATTCCATTTCATATAATGCATAACTAATATTCTTCACCTTATATCCTCCTTATTTCCTCCAACTAAATATGTGAGCAAATAGGACCAAGTCTATGTAACTGGACTGGCCCAAGCTCACTAATCATGGGAAGAAGTTCCAGCCAAAGATGCCTTCACCTATTTTGGATCACATATTCTCCCTTTCTCAAATATCTGGGTGTCGTATGGTTAATCTATCTCTAGGATAGTACTGGGACTTTCAAACAATAAGAACTGAGCATCAGGGCCTCCACGGTGTTAGTGTACCATATAAATTTTATACAATGTACCCCTACAACATTAGGGTGAACTCTCACTCTCTTACAATAATCATGCTCATACTATTTCAATCATACATATATTACTTATAAGGAGTACTCATATAACAAATACTAATATTTCACATTGTATTCAATTTCACAATCATTTACAAATAAAGACAAAAGGGTTTTAAGTGTTTAACAATACTTTAGTTTAATACCACATCAAGCAAGTTTTTAAAATGTCAACTGTTCAAACATAAATCATAATTTTCATAATAGATTATATACATTTCATAAAACTCATAACTACTTAAATAAAAGAACTACATTGTAACATCCCGAAATTTTAAGACTCGAATTTATAAAAATAAAATAAAATATCTATAATTAAATTAAAATTTAGAATAATTTGATAGAGGTCTAGAGTTTGAATTTTACTAAGCAAAAGTTTGGTTTTATTTGATTTTTAACTATAGGAGGCATTCTGTTGCTATAAGGCATTGTGGAGGTACAAGTAGGTATAAGGTCTACCTGCGAGTTAAAGAGTGCTAGGGGGCATTCTGTTGGTCATGAAAGGCCATACCGGCCTAGGTCATGCATTCATGCATTTTAAATGGCTAAATTATATACTATGTTGAATTTATTATTTGTTTATTTGATTATGGTTTACTTTGTAATAATCAATGTAAATTTCATTGTTACTGAGACTGTGGTTGTCTCACCCCTTTCTTTTCAATATTCTAGGTTCAGGCGAAGGATCCAGTGGTGAATGGGGAAAGGAGCAAAGTTAGGGGTTTGCTTGTGATTTGTAAAGAACTGCAACCCCTTTCTTTTGAGCAAATATATTGTAATGTATTTAGAATTAGGGTATCAGTAGGACATGATTATATATGTGTGTGTGAATATGTATGGATTGTGTGCTTGTGTATGAATTTTTGTCTGTTTACAGACTTGTGGCTAGGAAACTTGGTTATGGTGTGTGATTTTGATGGATTTACTTAGCAGACCAAGTTTCTATTACAAGCAGATATTTATTTTGATATATATGTGATTTTATAAGCAAATACAAAGTGGTTGCATTGCAAATGATGTGCTATGGGCAAACATACACTTTGGATAGAGAGACTGAGTGCGTGGGCCCCACAAGAAGCTTTGAGCCAAGTGAAAATGTTTAGCATATGTATTTATATAAATACATGGTATTTGGATTGATTTGTGACCATTCTTGTATGATTTGTGTATTTTGGGGGTTTAGGGTCCATTTTGAGAAATGGCACCCGGGTGGTCAAATTTTGATGTATGGGGGTTTTTCATCATTTGAATGTTCTATCAGGTGTTTTTAGTCTTATTTGACGTGTCCAAAGTGTTTTCACAGGTTTGTGACCATTAGGATGAGATTTGGACAATTTTAAAAATGGTTTTTACCAAAAAGCTGCACTTTTGCATCTGGGTGTCCAAATCTTAATCTGACCGTTGGATTTCTCTAAAATTTGGGTCACAAGTAAAACCTTTTATAAGCTTCGTGTAGGATTTAGAATCACGTCAATCGAATATCGGACGGAGAAACGACGCAATCCGAAATTTGGTCTGGAGGTGCTGTCATGGCAGCATTAAATTGCTGTCATGATAGCTATAGTGTTGATGTTGTAACCTGCACAAAATTCAATCCATCTGTTGGATCTTTTCAAAATTTGGTATGCTAATAGTATTCTTAAAAAGTGATATGTGGGCTTTGGAATCACTCTGATAGGAGGTCGGATGATGAAATGGTGCACTTCGAAAGTTGGTCCGGAAGTGCTGTCATGACAACTTTTGACAGCAAAAGTGACCAAATTTATAACACGTCCAATTTTTAATCCGACCGTTAGATCTTTTTAAAATTTAGTACACTTATAGTACCCTTTGAATGTGACATGTGAGCTTTAAAATTTCTTCGATCCGGGATCGAAAGACAGAACGGTGCCACCCTAAAATTGACTTAGGAGGGCTGTCAGGACAATAATTTAATGCTATCATGACAGCATATTTTTACCCTTCTTTTGTCTAACTTGCTTCCGTGCGCTATAGGTAGAACCTATAAAATTTTTTAAAGGCTTTAAATGTTTAATTTGCAATTGTGTATTTGGTTAGTGATTTAAATGGTTTGTTTCCTAAGTTGGTTTTAGGATTAATTCCTTAACCACACTTATTTTATTTGAATTGTGTGATTTTTGGATAACACTCGGGGCAAGTGTTACATACATTATCCGATTGCTTGAACCCTTTTTGTTAGAAAAAGGGTTACCGTGACAATTTAATAACCCTACAAGATTCTACTAGCTCAATGATGCCCAATCAATATTTAATCTACAAGACTAAACACTAATAATCAATTTTAACTATAAATAACCCCTTTTTAGCCTAATTTAGGTACCCACAATACCTCAATTCCCTCTTTAGCAAAATTAGCACTTCCAACATACTTCATTAATTTCATTTAATACTCAAGTACTTGGATAACATCAATTCTTCACCTATATTGCTCCCAATCTTCTAATTTTCACTTAGAGTTCATTCAAACCCTAATTCAAAACTCTAAATCATTATAAAATCTTTAAACCTAAGTTTAAAAACTTGATTTAACTGCCAAGGCTCCATCTAAGCTAATGGGTTTGACCAAAACATTCCCTTGACCAAAAATAGCTTCCCACATTATCATTTAAAGGTGAAAATGCATGAAAGATAAAGATGGGAGATAGGGAAGGCATACTTAATAATAATCAAGCTCTAAACACTCTCAAAATGACGTTGGAACCAAGCCCTAGTAGAGATAAGATGTTGCCTCTTCATTTTTTCCTTCTTTCTTTCTTTCTTTCTTTCTTTTCTATCTGTCCACCACAATGCATCATGACGAATGGCACAATAAAGCTTAGAGAAATTTGGGTTTTGACTTGGGCTTAGTTGACTCAAACTTCATCCTAGCCCACTTCCACGACTGTCCAAAGGTTCAACAACCTCATTAACAATCTAAAAATACTATTAAATCATTAATCACCCAATATTTATTAAATTACCCTTATTTATACTTTAAATCCCAAATTTTAGAATTTAGGGATGTTACAAAAAGTTTATGACATAACAAGGATTTATTTTATACTGTTTGGGATGTACACTTGGGTCACATTGTTAAGTCAAAATTTATGCTTAAAAATTATTTAGGATTTTGCCACCCTAGGAGTTATGCTTCTGTGCTAAATTTTGATATCAAAACCATTACTTGATTTTTGAACGTTGATTACTTCTATGGAATCCCTTGATGCAAATGGTTCCACATTGTTTTCCAATAGATATAAGTATGATTTACAATAACTACTATTCTAAATATCATCTTAATGTTTAATTATTACATTAAATTCCTTCTATCATAGTAGAACTTTTCTACCATGGTAGGTTATTTTTAAAATTATTTATTTATATGTCAAACTCTTTTTTATAGTGGTAGGATTTCCAAAAGGGGTTTATTTTTTAATTACCATGGCAATCTCTTTTTTTTACCATGGTAAGGGTTCGACATCACTAATTTGATTTAGTAACTTATTAATTTGAGAAAAACGAGTTCAAAAATTCAGAGTGTTACAGTCTTTACATCTAATTTTAAATTATATTCAAGTTTTAAGGGACCAAATTGTAATTTTTAAAACTTAATTGTAAACAAATCTATTTCATGAGATTTATACTTAATTTTTCATTAATTTGCAAAAAATAAGTTTGAAAATTTAAAATATTACAGTCTTTATATTCAATTTCGAATTACACTTCAATGTCAATAGACTTAATTGTGATTTTTAAAATTTATTTATAAATAAGTTTGTTTTATGGTTTCTATACTTAATTTTTCATTTTAGTAATTTAATAAATTCACCCTAAGACACACACACACCAAAAAAAAAAAAAAAAAAGCGAAAAGAACAAGAATGCAGAGAGTTGAAGAACTCGCGGGTAGCAGAGGGCATCCGGTCGACTACAGCTGCAAGCTTCGACACCAAAGAAGACTATGGTTGGCACAAAGAAATCGGACACATGGCCACCGTTCTAGACTCCAATTGCTTCACTCATTGTACTCAATCTTCTCCCTGTCGGTTCATTCGCTCCCCTTCACTCTCTCATAACTTCTTCAACTGCACCTTGAAGTTGAAGCCACCACCACGACCACTCACTTCTCGCCTGCACTCTCCAGCTACGACCTTGCTGACACCTCTATTCAAAAACTCAAAATTTCGACATGCCCTTCACTCCTCAGCCTCACCAATCTACTTCCTTCAAACCCCACAAACTTCTGTTTCGGATTCAAATCCCCCCCTCTTCTCAGAGGCTTCTGGCGACGGGGATTCTATCGTTGATGGGCTTTTCAAGTTGCTTCGCATATCGGCTCGATACGGCGACGCTGAGCTTGCTAGGGCTGCTCATGCTTCTGTTGTCAAGCTCGAGGAAGATACATATCTGGGCAATGCCCTCATTGTTGCTTATTTGAAGCTGGGCCTCTTTTCTGATGCTTACAATGTATTCTTTGGCCTTTCTTCCCCAGATGTGGTGTCTTACACCGCGTTGATTTCAGGGTTTTCCAAGTCGAATCGAGAAGAAGCAGCATTTGAGCTTTTCCTTCGCATGAGAGATTCGGGTATAGAGCCCAACGAATACAGTTTTGTTGCAATTTTAACTGCTTGCATTCGAATTATGCATGTACATTTAGGGCTACAGATACATAATATAGCAATCAAAATGGGGTTTCTGGATTGTGTTTTCGTTGCAAACGCACTTATGGGGTTGTATAGCAAGTGTGGGTATTACGATGTTGTCCTCAAATTGTTTGGTGAAATGCGTGAGAGGGATATTGCATCTTGGAACACTGTTATATCTGGTGCTGTCAAGGAGTCGAGGCACGACACGCCATTACAGTTATTCCGTGACATGCAGCAAAATGATGGTTTAAAAATAGATTACTTCACTCTATCAACACTCTTGATTGCTTGTGTCGAGAGTGTTGCGGTGATGGAGGGCCAACAAGTCCATGCACACGCTATTAAGTCTGGATTGGAATCAAATCTGAGTGTTGGTAATACTCTTATTAGATTCTATACAAAGTGTGGAACTCTTGATGATGTGGTATCAGTGTTTGACAGGATGACTGTGAGAGATGTTATTACTTGGACAGAGATTGTAACAGCTTACATGGAATTTGGGTTAGTGAATTCAGCTTTGAGAATATTTGATGAGATGCCAGAAAAAAATCCGGTCTCTTATAATGCTCTTTTGTCGGGATTTTGTCAAAATGGTGAAGGTCTGAAGGCATTGCACTTATTTCTCAAAATGGTAGAAGATAATTTAGAGTTAACAGATTTCTCTTTGACTAGTATTATTAGTGCCTGCAGCTTGCTTGCAGATTATAGGGTCAGCAAGCAGATCCATGGATTTGTTCTTAAGTTTGGTTTTGGACCAAATGTTTTTATTGAAACAGCATTGCTTGACATGTATACAAGATGTGGGAGGATGGAAGAGGCCAAAAATATGTTCTGTCGATTGTGGTTAAAGGAAGGAAACACTGTAGCTTGGACATCCATGATATGTGGCTATGCTCGAAATGGACAACCAGATGAAGCAATCTCTCTTATCCAGCTTGGTCAATTAGAAGGGAAAACAATTATGGATGAATTTGCCCTGTCTGCTATGCTTGGTCTTTGTGGAGTTATTGGCTGTCATGAATTGGGGAAGCAAATTCATTGCCATGTTATCAAATTAGGTTTTGAATTTGATGTAGGTGTCGGAAATGCAATTATTAGCATGTATTTCAAATGCTGGAATGTGGATGATGCAATAAAGATGTTTTATAATATGCCCAAAACTGACATTGTTTCATGGAATGCTTTAATTACCGGTCATATTTTGCACAGGTTGGGTGATAGAGCATTAGAAATTTGGTCAAATATGCAGAAGGAATGCATAAAGCCAGATGAAGTTACATTTGTTTTAGTCATTTCAGCATACACGCTAAGTAACTTGAATTTAGTTGATGATTGTCGTGGTTTGTTTCATTCAATGAGAACTATTTATGGCATTGAGCCCACTTCTGAGCATTATGCGTCCTTCATTAGCGTTTTGGGTTACTGGGGACGTCTGGAAGAAGCAGAGGAAACTATCAACAAGATGCCTTTTGAGCCTGCTGCTTCTGTTTGGCGTACATTGCTTGATAGTTGCAGACTACATAAGAACACAATTATTGGAAAACAGGTCGTGAAGAAAATTCTAGCTCTGGAACCAAAAGATCCTTCAACCAATATACTTGTTGCAAATCTTTATTCTGCTTCTGGGAGGTGGCACTGCTCTGAAGTGATCAGGGAGAATATGAGACAGAGTGGATTTCGCAAGCACCCAGCTCAAAGCTGGATCATTTCTCATAAGAAGATGCATTCATTCTATGCAAGAGATAGGTCCCACCCCCAAGCTAAAGACATCTATCGTGGATTGGAGATTCTAATATTGGAGTGCATGAAAGTTGGATATGTACCTGACACTAGCTTTGTTCTCCATGAAGTAGAGGAGTATCAAAAAAAGGATTTTTTATTCCATCACAGTGCAAAATTGGCGGCAACTTATGGACTTCTGACAAGAAAGCATGGAAAGCCCATTCGGATTGTCAAGAACATTCTTCTGTGTGGGGATTGCCACACGTTCTTGAAATATGTATCTATTGTCACTAGGAGGGATATATTTCTGAGAGATTCTTCCGGATTTCATTATTTCTCTGGTGGCCTATGTTCATGTAAAGATTATTGGTAAAATGCTGGCTGAATCTAATTCGTCAGCTTCATAATTGTTGTAAGTTATAACAATAAATAAGTGTTTATTCTTTATTTGTTAAAAGAAGCTTCAATGTAAGTTACCACAAAGCAACTATGATAGGTAAACTTACGCTTTCATAGTTTCATATATGGAAATTACAATGCGGAAATTCTTTATATGAACCTGTTTGAAAACTCGATTCAGCTGGAAATATTTTTTTCAGTGGCTTCTAAAACTTAATAGAACTTTAGAAGTTGAAAGTGCTAAAAACATTTGACCATGGTGGTGCAATCCAGTTTGGTTGCAAATTCTCGTTTCTCATTCTACTTACCAGAGAAGTTTAATTTGAATGATTTGTGTACTAGTGATTGTTTTGATAATGTTGTTCTGTATTTTTCTCTTGTTTTTAAATGTTTTGACGGAACATATTCAAGAGGAAATCCCGAAATGTATGCTCTTCGCGGATGATATAGTTCTTATAGCAGAGACAAGAGAAGAGATTAATTGCAAACTTGAGTTATGGAGGAGGACATTGGAGTCGAAAGGTTTTCGTCTGAGTAGAAGTAAGGCGGAATATTTATATTGTAAATTTGGTAAAGGACTATTCGAAAATAATTTGGAAGTGAAATTGGGAGATCAAATTATACCTCAAGTAGAAAAGTTTAGATATTTGGGAGCCATTATTCAAAATGATGGCGAAATCAGTGGAGATATTTCACATAGAATTCAAGCTGGGTGGTTTAATTGGAGAAAAGCTAAAGGAGTTATTTGTGACCGTAAGGTGCCTAATAAACTTAAAGGAAAGTTTTATCGTACTGCTATCAGACCGGCAATGTTATATAGTAGTGAATGCTGGGCTCTAACGGGACAGCAAGAGCATAAAGTTGGAGTAGCAGAGATGAGAATGTTACGATGGATGTGCGGACATACACGTAAAGATAAAATTCGAAATGAGCACATACGTGAAAAAGTGAGGGTGGCACCTATTGAGGAAAAAATGGTAGAAAATCGGTTGAGATGGTTTGGGCATGTACAAAGAAGACCAAGGGAGGCACCAGTGAGAAGAGTGGAACATATAACTTTGAGTCCGATTAAGAGAGGTAGAGGAAGGCCTAAGAGAACACTCTTGGAAGTTGTTGAACGTGATCTCTTAATTAATAATATTTCTAAAAGCTTAATAAATGATAGAGCACAATGGCGTCTTGCAATCCATGTAGCCGACCCCACCTAGTGGGATAAAGGCTTCTTGTTGTTGTTGTTGTTGTTCTGTATTTTTCTCTTGTCTCTGTTCTGTTTCTCTTTTTCAGAAGTACAATGATTTGCTGTTTGTTGCTCTTCATCCTGAAATACCTCAACTCTTGCGCATGAGGCAAGAGCAGTTATAGATTAAAGTGCAAGTTGCTTTATATAGATTAATTCCACTGACCTTATTCTAGCCATATGCTAGTGACTGTACTGCTACATAAAATCGGAACTACTGCCTGTGGCTGAATATGTCAATTTTGCAACAATTGCCAAAGAGTAATAAGGACAAAAAGTCAAAAGCTACAGCTCTCCCCCGTCTGTTTTGTTGACAGAAAAGATGATAGACCTGTCCTCTTAACATTTGAAGTTTGATGACCCATTCCTAAATCGTGACCCATTTCTAAACCGTGACCAATTTTTTTCTTAAAGGGGATTAAAAAGGTGATTATACCTATGACATCAAATAAATCTCCAAGTCCCACTGAATAAGACATAAGTTACAGCCTTCAAACATAATTGTTAACTTATTATTAGGGGGGTCAACTAAAGTACTTTCCCCAATAACCTTAAGGACCTGTTTGGTTCGTGGAATATGTGAGAATGGAATGGAATGGAGTGCAATGATGATTGCTGCTGGTGTGTTTGGTATGACTTTAGAGAAATATATACATATTTTGCATTTTAACCTTGACAGAATTTCTGAAGAATGCTTTCATTTGGTCAGAAAAAGTTGCTGTTGCATTTAAAAGGTTGAAGGAAACCCTAGTGACAGCACCAGTATTGGCACTTCCAGACTCTAGCAAGGTTTTTTGAAGTAGAAACTAATGCTTGTGGTTCAGGAATTGAGGATTTATTGATGCAACATAATCAACCTGTAGCATTTTCAGCAAAGATTTGGCTCCTAGGCACTGAAATCTTTCATTAAAGGAAGTAATTGTCCTTTCATTTGTGAAGTGCTGGATTCAATATTGCTTAATTGTTTTCTGACGAGAAAAATTTTGCTACCATATTAGTCTCTGAAATCATTTCTGGTGTTCTCCTCATCATATGAAAAAAGAAAAAATCGTTATTAGTGTTACTATACATGATTTGATTTGAATTTGTTATTTTTATCAGAGCTTAATCTTATATAGTGTCAATCATTAAACTTATATTCAGCTGCTCAGTATTAATCAAACAATTACGGTTGTTCAGAAGCTACAGAGAGGCTCGTTTTCTATCCTTATTTTCTTTTTTATTCACAACGTGGTGGAAAATATGGGGGATATCGTAATTCCTGGGATTATTCAAGGGCTAGTATCTTCTTTTACCCGGTTGGTTTAAATTTTGCTTCTACCTTTGAGAATGAAAGCTGCTTTCTTGCTTCCTAATCCGTAGCTTCGAAATTATGTGCTGTTGCATCCCTACCTCTTGTTTATTTGTGATTTCTCATATTCAGCTTATCATTCTTTAATGATCACGGGTGGCTATACCATTCGTGAAGGCCCTGCTCTATCACATGGTCCGTGCATTGGAACTGTGACTTTGTGTTCGTTACTCTCTGTTGTTCTTCTATCACATGGTCCATACCTTGGCCATACTGTGATTGCTTATAGAACCAGATGCAGAGCTCGGAGAAAGCTCCTTCTTCACCGAGTTCACCATGAAGTTGTGAGTTCTCTTGTCTTGCTTGTCCTTAGTTGTTAGTATTTCGATTCTCTGTAGTTTGGGCTCTCTTTGAAATTTAGTGATTCTAATAGTATGTAGCAGGTAAAAGAAATCTCTTGGAATTGGTGGTGAGAAATGTCCCTGCATTGTGGCTGCAATCGCTAGAGCGGTCACATGCCAGCCCTCAAGGAGGCCATTCAGGGGTGCAAGTTACCTGCCAAGGAGCAAAGACAGTGTTCTAGTGGCAAAATATGTTTAGTGACGTCAGAGAGTTCATCAAGCGCTGCGATACATGCGTTAGATGTAAATATGAAGCTGTAGCATCACCAAGTCTGATGCAACCTCTTCCCATCCCACATACAATTTAGGAAAGCATCCTAATGGGTTTCAATGAGGGCTTGCCTAAGTCCAATGGAAAGGAAACCATTTGGCTTGTGGTGGATAGGCTGAAGTAATATGCACACTTTTTGCCCTTTTCTCATCCATTTAGTGCTGCGACATTGGCTCAACATTTTCTTGATCATGTTTACAAGTTGCATGGTACTCCGATGCAGATTATACGTGATAGGGACCCGATCTTTGCAAGTAACTTTTGGAAGGAGTTTTTGAAGGTCTTGGGCATTGAACAGAAGTTGGCTTCCTCTTACTACCCACAAACCGATGGGCAATTAGAAGTGCTTAATTGTTTCCTAGAAACCTACTTGAGGATCATGTGTTGATTGAAGCCCAGGGTTGGGGGAAAACGGCTACCATTAGTGGAGTAGTGGTAATGCCACTTTACATACCTCAATTAAAACTACTCCTTATGAAATACTCTATGGATAGAAGCCACACCCCTGCACGTACCCTATTGGTTTATAAAAGCTTCTGTGAAGCTGTGGACAGGGCATTTTCTGCGAGAAAGGAAGATTTGGCTTTGTTAAAACAGCATTTGCAGGGTGCTACTAATAAAATGAAGCAAAGGGCTGACTTGCAGAGGTCAGATTGGAGTTTCAAGTGGGACGGACAATGGGTATTTAGCAAACTACAGCTCTATAGACAGATTTCTGCAGCTTCTAGAAGTTCACGTAAATTAGCACCTAAGTACTTTAATCCTTACAAGGTCTCACAAATTGTACGGCCAGTCGCTTATAAGCTAGAATTACCTCCAGAATCAAGAATTCATTCATCGTTTCATGTCTCCTACTTGAACTATACCCTGATCCATTAGTGAAGCAAAGATATCCTCCAGTTGATTGGCCAATGCCACCTACAGACCTGGTTCCTGAGAATATACTGAGTAAAAGAATGGGACGGAAGAAAGGCAGGATCATTCATTGAAGTTCTTCTGCAGTGGAAATGGTTGTCAGATGAGGAAGAAAGCTGGGATTCACTTTTCGAGCTGCAGAAACAGGTCCTTTGTGGGGTACTGATATGTGATTTGTAAATTACAAGGTGACTTGTTTGTGAGTTCGTTCTTTTCAGAGTGGGGAGTTGTAGCCGTTAGAGGGGCAACGAAGGAGTGCATGCCAAGGATTGAGTTGTGTCTTCAGTTAATGAAATATTCAGGTTTCAGTTTATCACTTCCTGTCATATTTGTCTCTGTTCTCTCTCTCCTGTTCTGTTTCTCTTCTCTTCTCTCTCACCTCTGTCTTCTGACCACTATAATATCACTATAGCAGTATAATTGTGATTTCTCTTCTCCTCTCTCAATGTGAGCGGTTCAAACACTTGACATGTGGAAGGATCATTATCCTCAACACCAACATGACAGTCAACCATTGATGTATAATTATGATTTCTGATTACGTGAAATATTTGGTTCTAGCATTTTTTTGTGATGTAAAAGTTTTCTTGTAAATTCATAACTTGGGAAAGGAGAAGCTGCAAAAAATTCGTGACCAGATATTGATGGGACCTATAACTATTGATGTGTACAGTTATTGTTGGAAAATGCTAGTACTATTGGAATATATTTTCTTAAAAGGAATTGAAAAGCTGTATATGGTGCTCTGCATGATGATGATAAAATGCTTTATGGATTTGTTTAGAAAGAGATTTATACGGTTTCTCTTTAGTCTGATTTGCTTGATGTTCATCTTTTCAGATCTCATTTTTCCTTTTGACATCTTATCAGCAGCCTAAAAGGCTCTCAATAGTAATATGTATACTATTGTATGTTGTGTGTTTCTGTTAAATTTGAACCATGACGATGATATAATGTTCATATATATATATATATATATATATTCGTTGCCATTTTGAC